ACAGGTGCACAGCCCCTGCATAATTCATTCCACAGAGCCAGCAGCCTCTGTCTGAACATGTTTATAAAGCAAATACCGAGCTACTGACCAACCCACCAAAGGGCAGCCTGCTTAGAGGTACCGACGAGTGCGTGCTGCTTTTCTTCCTAAGAAACCGAGTCAAAGCCCTCTACAGCACACTCTCGGCAGATTATGTGAACTTGGAAATGTCCTGCACCTGGATCCTTCCCCAGCTAGCCCCGGGTTCCTGGACAGACTTCACATTTTTGCTAAACCCAGCTATTAGGCCTGACCACTTCCTTCCTTCCAGGCTCTATTTTCAGAAGCAGAGAGACACAGCGCCTCTGCACCTGTTAGTGTGGCCACAGAAGAAAAACTCTGCAAAACCTTCCTCTGTCTGCATAGCGGAGCCATGACAGCTGAGCCCAAGCAGGGGCTGCTCCCAGTGCCCAGTGGTGCCAGTGGAGGCTCAGAGGCCAGGCAGCCTCAGGCAGGAGCATCTCCACCACCCATTCCCGCATCTCCTGACCAGAAGCTTCACTTAGCTCCAGGGCTGTGGCTGGCTACAGTCGTCAGGCCACAGCCAAGGGTCCCAGCCATGTTCCCTTGACACTGGGAATGGTGGGGCTCATAGGAGGAGGCAATCCTGGCCATCAACTATCCAACAGATAGATACCCAACCTTCTAACACATGTTGGGGTGCAAATGTGATTGAGACACAACTTCAAGATACTAACAGGGGTGCAAGTGTTTGGCTCACTGAATACGAAGCCACCTGGGGCTCCAGTAGTCCATACCAGAGTGCCTAAGTTCCAGTCCCAGCTCCACTCCCCGTTCCCTCTTCCTGCTAATGTACACCCTGGGAGGCAGCAGGTGATGGCTCAAGCACTTGGGGCCTTGCCACCCACATTGGGGACTCAGACTGACTTCTGGGCTCCTGGCCTTAGCCTAGCCCATTCCTGGTTGTTGTGGGCATTTGGGGAGTAAACCAGCAGAGAGAGGAGCTGTCTCTTTCTCTGCTTTTCAAATAAATAATTTTTAAAACAAGTGGTACAGAGCCCTAGGATATCCCCTGTGATACCCTGAGGCAAGGGTCTCCTGCAGCCTGGGCACCACGCATGAGCTGCTCCCAGACCCTGAGGAAGGTCAGGTTCATGGCCATGGTTCTGATTTCCTGGTTGGGATGGAGTTTCTTGAGGAGACAAGTGGCCGAACACCACTAGGTAATAACCAGTCTATGCCTCTATTCTCTTTCCAAACTCAAACTGGTGCCGAGGCATTGGATACCCAACACCTGCATGCCAGGGGCCCCCTCGTCTACCTGTGTGTAAGCCTTTTCCAGATTTTTGTCTTTCTTCAGTTGAAATTCATTCGGCAGAAGAGTGGGGTTCTTGTTTTCCCCTTTTATCTGGGTCTGTTTGTCCAAAGCTAGAGTAACAGGGAGCTTTTAAAGCCTAATAAATTCAACATGTAAAGAATGGTCTGGAACAGATGGAAAGTTTAATGTTCCCTCTCTCTGCCCTTAGGGCAGGAGGCCACTTGGGGCTTAACACTTTTCCCCATTCACATGCAGAATTACTTCCCAAAGCACAAGTCTGAAAATTCAGAATCCTGAAACCAAATCACCACTCTTCCTCATTCTTAGTATTTCAATCTTACGATTGTGCTGACAGAATAGTAATTACTCTTCCTCATTCTTAAGATTTCCGTCTCATGATAGGGGCGACAGCATATATGCTTTGCATTTGGAGAAACTTAAAGGGTATTATTTTAGGGTTTTGAAATAGAAAAAAATTGTATTTTTTACTCATGTATATTTATTCTTCTTTAAAAATACATTTAAATAGACTAAATACCTCCTTTGGCAGTTAGTTCATCTAAACATGGGGAAAGTGCTACAGCTGAGCGTGGATTTGTTTAGATTCACACGTGTTGTCCTGGAAGGTGGACTGGATGTGTTGGGTTCTCTGTCTTACAGCTGGGGAGAGGCACCTGTCACTGGCTTTATGGGTCACAGCTGTACAAACCATCCCGTTATCAAGGGCGAGACCTAGGAGAATGGAGACTATTGTTCCAAAGGCAATGACATCGAACTTGCTCCTTAAACACACATACACTCACAACCAAGCCCATTGTAAAAGCCAATCATCTCACACACAGGCCAGCCAAATGAGTCCCTGCCCCAGCATTTCCTGTAAGGGACACCAGCAAGGTCTGAGTCTCATGAGATCGTCCATCTTTTTCTTCTGCATATCAACCCCAGGCGTTATGTAATTGACTCACCTCCCTACACTGCTGGCAAGGATCACTTACAAATAACAGATTTTCTCCAAAATGTTTCACACATGGTTCTGTTCTTCATGGCCTTCCTGTCAGTGGAGTATTATTGTCAGTAGGTAGACCATGCATTTAAAAATCTGGAATCTTCTTCCACGTTCTGGTTACTACCACAACAGTGAAGGAAGGTGGTAAACACGGTGCTTGGGACCAGCAGAGCTACTGAAAGAGCTGCAGGATGTGGTCTGGGGGCTTACGCTGTGTTTGGATAACGGCTGAGAACATGAGCTCCCGTAAACCCTCTGATAACCAGGCTGTGGGACTCGTGGTCAGCATCTGTCACTGTTTTATTTAAAAACAGGATGGGGGGATCGGGGCCATGGCTCGCTTGGCTTATCCTCCCGCCTGCAGCACCAGCATCCTATATGGGCGCCGGGTTCTAGTTCCGGTTGCTCCTCTTCCAGTCCAGCTCTCTGCTGTGGCCCAAGAAGGCAGTGGAGGATGGCTCAAGTCCTTGGGCCCCTGCACCCGCATGGGAGACCAGGAGGAAGCACCTGGCTCCTGGCTTTGGATCGGCACAGCTCCGGCTGTAGCGGCCATTTGGGGGGTGAACAAACGGAAAGAAGACCTTTCTCTCTGTCTCTCTCTCTCGCTGTTTAACTCTGTCAATAATAATAATAAAATAATAATAAAAAAACAGGATGGGGCTGGAGTTGTGGCACTGTGGTTTAAGCCATGGCTTGCTATGCCAGCATCCCATTTAAGTGCTGGTTCAAGTCCTGGCTGCTCCACTTCCAATCCAGTTTCCCACTAATGAGCCTGGGAAAGCAATGGAAGATAGCCCAAGTACTTGAGCCACTGCCATCCATATGGGAGGCCAGGTTGGGGTTCTGGCTCCAGGGTTCAGCCTGGCCTAGACCTGGCTGCTGTGACCACTTTGGGAGTGAGCCAGCAAATAGAAGATCTGTCATTTTGCCTCTCAAATAAATCTTTAAAAACAGGATGACTGAGGCAGGGAGTTACTCTAGAGGTTAAGATGCTGGTTAAGATACCCACATCAGAGTACCAGGATTCAATACCCAGTTCTGGATTCTGACACCAGCTTTTTGCCAATGCAGACCTAGGGAGGTGGGGGTAGTGGCTCTAGCAGCTGGGTTCCTGTCACCCATGTAGGAGGCCAAGATTGTGTTTCTAGTTCCTGGCCATGGTGAGCATTTGGGGAATGAACCAATGGATGGGAGTGCCTCCCTTGCTACCTGTCTCTCTCTCTCTCTTCCAAATAAGTAAATAAAACCAGGACGACTAAGCAAAAAGATATAGATGTAAGTCACAAAAAACTGAACTCATACCTATTTGGGATCAGCAGGAAGAGTGGGTATCAATTGAAAAGCATAGTGCTAAGGAGTCTGGGAGAGTGGCAGTCTACCTACAGCTCCTCCCTTGGCTGGGAAATCGAGATAAAAACACCATCAACACAGGTGCTCCTCACAGAAGCCAAGTGGACAACCACTCCCACCGCTTCAGTTGGTTTCTGTTCAGAGCTAATTTTATGATCTCTTATTCTATCAGCAGCCACACACTGAGATAGGCTAAACACAGCCCTTTGTCCTTTCAGCACAGGAACCTTTTCAAACATTAACTTGGCAATCTCCCCCACACGCCCCAGAGGGCAGGCAGCTAAGGGTAGGTCTGAATATGGTGTTCTCACAGACCTCTGGAGGCTCCAGAGAGTTGAGAACAGGTCTATTCCTTGAAATACCAAAATGATGGAGGCTGGCGCTCTCTCTGTCTATAATATTTATCTCTTATTTTTTCGACAGGCAGAGTGGACAGTGAGAGAGAGAGACAGAGAGAAAGGTCTTCCTTTGCCATTGGTTCACCCTCCAATGGCCGCCGCGGCTGGCGCGCTGTAGCCGGAGCACCGCGCTGATCCAATGGCAGAAGCCAGGTGCTTCTCCTGGTCTCCCATGGGTGCAGGGCCCAAGCACTTGGGCCATCCTCCACTGCACTCCCGGGCCACAGCAGAGAGCTGGCCTGGAAGAGGGGCAACCGGGACAGAATCTGGTGCCCCGACCGGGACTAGAACCCGGTGTGCTGGAGGATTAGCCTAGTGAGCCATGGTGCCAGCAGAGGCTGGCGCTCTTGAAGTTCAAAAGACATGGCCTGTGTTTTGGGGCAGGACCCACAATCCTAGAAAGGCCCGAATCCTAGAAAGACGAGCAGCTGACAGAGTCCGAACCCCACGAACATTTCCCATCATTGAAAACCTTATCCACGCACCGTGTATGTGACATCAACACCCACGTTCAGTCTCCCGAATAAGCCTAAGGAGGAGAACAGGAGAAAGATGGAGGTGAGTGAAATCTGCTCCTGGCTGAGGAGGAGAACAGTGGAGTGGAGTGGAAAGCCTCAGTTCCCTCAGAAACACCAGACTTGGGCTCAGCTCGGACCCTTGACTCTACTGCCACGGGACCTGAGCACAAGCCTTTCACCAGAAGTCTCCCTTTCCTCCACGTGAGATGGAGATAAATGGACATCGGTGATGGCCAGACAGGAAACACACACAGAGCGTTCAGCAGGGGCTGGTGCGGGCTGCAAGGCGAGCAGAGGATGTGCCCTGCAGCCTCACAGCAGGAACCCTCAGCCGCTAGAGCTCTGGCCCCGCCCGTGCCTGTGCTCCAGAACGCAGACAGACGAAAGTCAGGAGCGATGTTCATTAAAAATTTAACTATATATCATATTCATTTATTATCAATCCACAGGATAATTTGATTGCTACATGAGCTCATAAAAGCTTTTTTCACCTTTACAAAATTAAAAAAAAATGTGCCACAAGGATGTAATAACAACTGCTGATAAACAAGAAAAGGAATCTTAAAATTATAAATTTGCTGTAGAAAAGATAAAAAACAATTATATTTTTATTTAGAATTTTACCTTGAATAAAATATTCCCCCGTATAAAAAATAAAAAAGCTTGCTCTGGTTAGAATTAGAGTATTTTTCGTCTTCAAATCTGGGAATTTGCATAATATTTCCATGATAGTTTTCCTTTGTACCGCGTGGCATTCAAGCATAGCAGATTAGAAAGATCGTTTTCGTTGTTTTGTTTTAAAGCAGTCTTAAGATGGGACATCTGTGGGGAGGGTCGTTTTCTCCTCCTCCTCTGGGTTGCCCAACACAGCCTTTTCAGGGAGGAACCAGCGGGATGGGGGGGGGGGGCGGCGGGGATGCTGAGTGTGCCGTGAAATAGAGCAAGATCACAAGAAGGCCTATCGTTAAGTGCTTTAAGATAAGGTGCGGAAGCAGACTGCAATGTCGCTAGTACTGCCCTATGTACATATTCACAAGAATAAAAAATTCCAGCTAGTTCACATTTTCTCGTCCGTTCTGAGGCATCCACTCCACCATGCTGGCCTTGACCGCAGGCAATGCAGCACCTCCACTGCCCGTGTGGGTGTTGGTCCTTGAACTCGAGGGAGTAGCCCTGGGGGATCCAGCAGGCTCTAGAGACACACGTCTACCAAGGGGCTGGAGTCCTGAGTTAAAAAGAAGCTCCAGTACTGGAGTTGGACACAGCAATCAATGTTCTATTGTCAAGGCTTTTTCCTTAGATTTGTCTAAGACAGGTGTCAGAGAGGAAAATAAAATACAAACAAACAACAAAACAAAGCCAAGAACTCCCAACAACCACCAGGGCAAGTCAAAGGCTTAACAGCTCTTGACGCGGGCCTGGGTGACATCCGACGTCTTCTTGATGACGCTGGCCCTGGTCTCCCGGCTGCTGCCTGGCGTGGGCGTCACGGCGGCGGGCAGGGGCAGGTCTGGGAAGGTGGGCCAGGAGCTGTTGTACGGCACGGGACAGCTCTCCTCCTTGATGGTGACCTGCAGGTCTGGCTTGTTGGAGGTGACAAAGGTGGCCATGCTGGGCAGCAGGTAGGTGCTCCGCGTCCCCATGTTGCTGAGGTACTGTTTGCCTTCGATGTTCCTCTTCCGCCAGTGTGGTCGCGCCTGCCGAAGAAAAGGGTTAGGACCCGCGCTTTCCTTTCGGCCCGGCGCGTGGCTTTCCGCAAGCGTCCCTCTGCTCTCACGGCCCTGTGTTCTCACGGAATATCTGCAGGGCTGTGGCAGCAACAAAGGCTTAGCAACTCCGAATTCCCCCCACTGACATCTATGCCCAGCGATTCGTCCCCCAAGCAATGGATTCTCTTCCCTCTTTTGCCAGTTCCCATTTGCCACCTCCTGGAAATACATGGCTACTTCCAAAAGTTTGTGGAAAACAATGGAATTAAGAGGCCAGTTCATTTTGGCACCAAACTTTGGAAATCCATGCATAGTTTTCTCATAACGCACACTTCCCATGAACTCCCTGGAGATCCTCTCCCACGCGTGGTTTGTCAGGCTGCCTCGGTTTCTCACCACAGCCTCTGTGGATCTGTGAGTCAGTCTGCATTTCCAGGGCAAGGGAAGTGGCACACTCAGCCCCAGCCAGGACGCCTTCCTCTACTGCTTCTTGGGCGTGGGGGCAGCTCAGGGAGGGCTCCATGCGTCCAGCTAGCAGCTGGCCTCAAGGGCGTCGCATTCAGGAAAGCGCTAGAACGTGGACTGCACGCGATCGCGGACTCCTACCGTCTTCAGACTCCTGTACTTGACGGTGTTCAGCACACCGAGAAAGCCTCCTCAGCAGCCATCAGCGTCCGCGTCTCCCGTCCTCCTTTCCTCGCCTTCCCTTTCTCCTCTCCGCCCCTGCCTCCCTCACCCAGGCACAGCCCCACCCAGCGCTTCCATCCCCACCGCAGCCGTTTCCTGGCGCTGTGGGAGCCCCGCCTACGGGAGGGACGCAGGAAGCCAGCTCCAAATGGAGCCGGGACCCCCTCGACCAGACTCTGGGCAGAGAGCCCGCGTCCACGTGGAGTGGCGCCGGGTCAGCTCCCCCACGCCATTTCCCTGCCGAATGGCTGCGGACAGTGGTAAGAGCATCCCCATGTCCTGCCTTCTTTTCCCAATGACCACCTTCGCCTTTCCTCTCACGCCCTTCCCTACGCTTACGCTTACGGAGGTTATGTCTATTTTACCACACCCAAGCAATCCGGCAGTGAGAGCAGGGAGTCGGGGCGCGGGGCGCGGGCTCACCTCGCCGCTCTCCTCGTCGCTGGGCACGCTGTCCGTGGTTTCGCTTTCTGTTCAGAGACAAACACAGCAGCGTCATTCCCGCCGCTCGCCCGCACCCTCGAGCTGTATGGACGCTTCTCTTTCCAAAGTGGCTGAGCCCAGCGTCTCCCCTGACCTCTGACCGCTCCCAGCCCTGGGCGGCCATCTCTGTCCTCTACCTTGACCTTCGGAGAAAGTGGGATTCGCAGCGGATGGGCAGGCCTGCTCTGCAGGGACCCCCCCACCCCCACTCCCAGGACCCGGCCTTGGCTCACCGAGCTCCATCTGTGATGCCCTCACACGGGGCCCTTCCTCCAATTCCCTTCAGTCCCGACCCAGAGACAACATCTTGCAAGGTGGTGTCCCAATTCCTCTCCATTCTGCTCAGACCCCTCCTCTACCACATGCCCACTGCAGACTTCTGTGTTTCCCGAGTTGCAACTCGACCTGGGTTACCCTGAGTGGACAGAGTCTACACCGGCCCTTGATACCCTCAACTCTGGTGCTGTCCTTGGGGGCCCTTCCTCCTGACCTGTGACTTGCTTATGATCAACAGAAGCCAAGGCGACGGTTGTGTGTGGCCATGACCACACAGCACAGTGGTCCTGGGAGGACTTCCCTGCTGACTGCAGGGGCACACGAGGCCACGCCGGGAAGCCTCACGTGGCCAAGAACGGAGGGCTGCTTCCAGCCAACGGCCAGCAAGAGACTGCGGCCCTCGCTTCAGTAACCTGCAAGGAACTAAATTCAGCCAAGAAGCACGTGTGCTTGGCAAAGGGCCCTTCCCCGGTTAAGCTACGGAAGCGATGGCAGCCTCGGTCAATGCCTGGCCAGCAACCCACAGAAACTGTGCCAAAATCAACGTGTTCCCTTGGGCCGCTGAACGCGCGACACTGCCACGCCTTCGTTACCATGCTGGTTCAGCCTGCCGGCTGTGGCTTACTCATCTGGGTACCGAGGCTTTCCCGCCTTCCAAGAGGACGATGTGCTGGTGCTGGGTTAGGTGAGGGGGACCACGGGGAGCGGCCTCACGGTGGGGGTGGCGGCGCGGCACAAAGGGCGCACTCAGTGCTGGACGGCAGCCCGGACCAACGGGGCCAGAGCCAGTGAGCAGTGGCCATCTAGCTCCTGCGTTTAGAGTAAAGGTTTAAAGCAGAATGATTTTCAGCTAAGATTTCAAAAACGACAGCGTGCCGTGTGCCGGTGTTCAAAGCCACCGAGAAGTGATATCACAGAACGCAGAGCTTCCCAGAGACACAGATCCTTAAGGATCGCTTGGTCTGGGTGATTCGTGAGGCGGACGAGGCCCACAGGGAAGCTAAGCGCCAACACTGGTGGAGCGCTCTGGGCCACGAGCCAGGGCCTTTGGGTGCAAGGCTTGCTCATCCTGCACTGGGATCCCTGCCCCGTGCAGAGGAGCTCACCGGCTCTGGAACCTTCTGCTTCCTGCCATCCTGTTCCTGCTGAGGGTGAGGCCTCCAGGCTCACATCTCCCTGGTGGCACAGTTGGGACAAGATGACTCCAGCCCAGGTAGAGCCCCTTGCACCATCCAAGCATTTGCACCCTATACACTAAAGAACAAACGGGGAGCTGGTGCTGTGGCATAGCGGGTAAAGCCACCATCCTATATGGGCACCAGTTCAAGTCCCAGCTGTTCCACTTTTGATCCAGCTCCCTGCTGATGGCCTGGGAAAGCACCAGAAGATGATCCAAGTGCTTGGGCTCCTGCCGCTTATGTGGGAGACATGGAAGAAGCTCCTGGCTCCTGGCTCCTGGTTCCGTTCCTGGCTTTAGCTTGGCCCAGCCCTGGCCATTGCAGCCAACTGGGGAGTAAACTAGCACACGGAAGATCTCTCTGTCTCTAGAATTCTGACTTTCAAATGAAAAGAATTAACAAAAAACCAACCACACAAAACAGTACTTCAGGTTCATTCCTTAAATAGACAGCAATATGTGGATTCAGGTTGAGGCTGGGCACAGCAGTTAAGGTGCTGCCTGGGACGCCCACACCCTGTATAAGGGAGCCTGGGTCCCAGCTCCTCTCCCAATTCCAGCTTCCTGCTAATGCATGTTCTGGGAGGCAGCAGGTGATGGCTCAAGCAGTTGGGTCCTGGCCACCCACGGTGTGGGGGGCTGGATGGAGTTCTGGGCTCCTGGCTTAGGCCTGGCCTAGCTCCATCTGTTGCAGGCATTTGGGGAGTAGACCTGCAAGTAGGAGAGCTTTTTTCCCGTCTGTCAAATAAACAAATTAAAGAACAAAAAGAGCGTGGACTTCACCAGTCCCCCCGTAGAGCCTTTCGGTGTATTTCTTGGTCACCGATCTCAGTGAGGTCAGGCAGAGCCGGGTGACTGCTGAGGGTGGCCTGGGAGCAGCTGGAGGTCACAGCTCCACTGTCCTTGGACGGAGCGTGTTTCCCCAGAGTACCTCTGAGTGGGAGCAGCTGACGCCTGGGTAGGCTGTGGCCTCCCAGGATAACATCCACAGCTACGAAGACAGACAGACAAGGCCAGGCACAAGATGTTTCTGCACAGAAACAAATGGAGAACAGCAGAAGAGGAAGGCTCCTGGCCTCTCTGAGCCCTCGGAGGCAGGCATCGGGACTGACACTCCCAAGCCGAAGAATGAGGAACAGAGCTGTTGAGAAACCTGCCGGTTACCGACTGAGTCAGCACCGAGGAGAGAAGACAGGACTGCGCTCCGGGTTCAAGGCCTGTGCACCCACCCAGCCCAGCCGCTGCGCCCCCTGCTGCGCCTGCCTCTGACGAAACGCCAAGATCCCCTTGCTGTATTCATGCTTAGATTTCGTTGTGTTCTGAAGCCAAGGCTTCTCTTCTGTTCCTTTTCCCTGAAAGTGAAAGCAAGCACCACCGGACACATTTGGGGACTGGAGATGTGCGAAGACGTGAGGTTAACACCACGGTGCTGGGATTCCACGTGGCCCGAGCCACAACGGCTGATGAGGCTGAAAGTCAGTGCCAGGGTGAGACTCCTCAGGAGCACCTTGCACAGATCATGAATGTGGTAAGAATGTTAATTCTTTTTTTTTTTTTTAAAGATTTACTTATTTGTTATTCAAAAGGCAGAGTTAAAGAGAGGCAGAGGCAGAGAAAGAGACAGAGAGAGAGGTCTTCCATCTGCTGGTTCACTCTCCAAGTGGCCACAATGGCCGGAGCTGGGCTGATCCGAAGCCAAGAGCCAGGAGCTTCTTCTGGGTCCTCCATGCAGGTGCAGGGGCCCAAGCACTTGGACCATCTTCCACTGCTTTCCCAGGCCATGGTAGAGAGCTGGATCGGAAGTGGAGCAGCCAGGACTCGAACTGGGATCCCTATGGGATGCTGGTACTGCAGGCAATGGCTTTACCCACTATGTCACAGCGCTGGCCCCTGCTAATTCCTTTTTAAGAGTCTTGTTTGCAACTTCAGGGAAACAGCTGCAGATGAGACAGCAGGTCAAGCTGCCACTTGCCACACTGGCATCTCCTAAACAAGTGCTGGTCCAGTCCTGGCTTCTCCGCTTCTGATTCAGCTTCTTGCTAATGCGCCTGGGGAAGACAGTGGAAGACAGCCCAAATGCTTGGGCCCTGCCACACATATGGGAAATCCTGGTTCCCGGCTTTGGCCTGGCCCAGCCCTAGCTCTTGTGGCCATTTGGGGAACAAGCCAGGAGATGGAAGATCTCTATCTCTCTCTCTCTGTGTCACTCTTTCAAATAAATAAAATAAATCTTTTAAAAACAAGGATACATGTTTTGAAATTATGTTTTCAGCTGACACAAATGGCAGTTGAAGAGCATCATTCCTTTGAGAGAGAGAGAATTTCCACTTGCTGGTTGACTCCCCAAATATCCATGACAGCCGGGACTGGGCTGGGGCCAAATCCAGGAACTCAATCCAAGTCTAGCAAGTGGGTGGCAGAGATCAAACTACTTGAACCTGGGGCAAAAGCCACTGCCTGAGATGATATCCCCATAGTGTCCTGGCTGCTCCACTTCCAATCTGGCTCCCTCCTAATGGCCTGAGAAAGCAGCAGAAGATGGACCAAGTATATGGGCCCCTGCCATGCATGCAGTAGACCCAGATGAGGCTCCTGGCTCCTGGCTTTGGCCTTGCCCAGTGTTGGCTGTTGTGACCATCTGGGGAGTGAACCAGGGGCTGGAAGATCTGTCTTTTCCACTCTCTCTGTAACTCTTTCAAAATAAATAAATAAGTACATCTTTTTAAAAAAGGAAAGCAAATTACTTGAGCCGTCGCTGCTGCCAGTCAGGGTCTGCATTAGGTGGGAAGGTGAAGTCAGAAGGCAGAGCCAGGTATCAAACCCAGGCACTCCGATGTGGGACCCAGTTCTCTTAACCACTAGGCTAAGCACCCAGTGTGAACATCATTTTTACATTAAGCTCAACTGCGCCTGAAGCCGTTACAAAAACTCTCTGCACTGGTGAACTGGGATTTCTAGTTTTTATTATTTAGGAACAATGGCCATGGGGCCGGCGCTGTGGCACAGTGGGTTAACGCCCTGGCCTGAAGTACCGGCATCCCATATGGGCGCCAGTTCGAGACCCGGCTGTTCTACTTCCTGCCCAGCTCCCTGCTACGGCCTGGGATAGCAGTGGAAGATGGCCCAAGTCCTTGGGCCCCTGCACCTATGTGGGAGACCCGGAAGAAGCTCCTGGCTTCGGATAGGCACAGCGCCAGCCGTTGAGGCCAATTGGGGAGTCAGTAGAGGAAGACCTCTCTCTCTCTCTTTCTCTCTCTCTCTCTCTCTCTCCCTGCCTCTCCTCTCTCTGTGTAACTCTGAGTTTCAAATAAATAAATAAATCTTAAAAAAAAAAAAAAAAAGAACAGTGGCCTTGAGTACCTTCAGCCTAGGAGGAGGAGAGCCTGAAGCTCCGGTGGGAGCTCCAAGGCCCTCCTCTCCACATAACAGTGTTTCTCACAGCCACCCCTGGCTTGCTGGCCCCAAGTGCTGTGCTGGGTGTCCTCACACCCCACTTCCTCTGTGCTCTGGCTTTCCCGTCACCATCGCCATTTCCATGCTGACAAATGCGTTCGCTGCGGTGGCTGCTCCACATCCGCGCTACTGCTGAATACCAACATGGCCACTACTTCGTTTTCCCTTCTGAGTCATCTGGATCTGCTTCCTTGCTTCCTTTGAATACAGGGGCATAAAAATATTTGGAGTTGCTTCACTTGCATGGTCTGAATAAGCTGCAGGTGTTTACAGAGCAATCGCAGGTGTGCGAGCAGCACCCGTGGCCTTCCTGGGCCGTGTTCTCCTGAATCAGTGAGGACCCGAGGGAAGGGCGATCTGGGTGAGATGGCCTGAGAGCTGCTTCTGCAGCTGCAGGTGTAGTCTTAGGTTCATGCCCCACGTCAGCCCAGCTTTCAATGCCTCCCTGAGAACACACACTGTCAAACCATTGCAGGAGCCTCATGGGAAGGGAGGCAACAGGCTTTATCTGCAAGCCTTTTGGTACTCTTCTGGAACGCCCTTGTTCAACGCACTTTATGCATTCAGACTGACAAGGATTTCTTTCCATTGATGGTTTGAGGACACAAAATCTTTACTATGAGTTTCTGGTCACCAGGCAATCCCTCCTCTCTCTCTGCTGCAATCAGTTAACCCTTTGTATTATGCCTCCTTTGGAAGTGTATTTTCCACCCCTTCATCTTTCCTCTCCCAAAACATTATTGTGGCTTTGTTTTACCAAACCATCAACAATCTGAAAAACCCTGGTACCACGGATCAGGCAAGGAGCCCTTTAAAATAAGTAAGATGGCCATGCTCTGGAGCTTCCCAAGGCTGGGCTTGGAGACATCCCTCCCCAGGATGCAAGTGTTAGAAATCAAAGCAGAATTTCAGTGTTGTCTTACAACATGCAATGCATGTACACCCACTCAAAGGAACTGACCATAGAGGAGAAGACAGAAGTGTGAAACTGAATGAGGTTTTGAACTGCTCCTGGGTTACACTTCAAAGATTAGAAAGAGCAAATGGAGGTGGTGGTGAGGGGTGGGTGGGTATTAGCTTACATCCCTCTTTAGAGTACCTAGGATAACCTGGCTCCAGATCCTGGCTCCAGCTGCCTACTAATGCAGACCCTGGGAGGCAGCAGTGGTGATGGCTCACGTAACTGGGCTCCTGCCACCCCCATGGGAGACCTGGACCTGGATTGCATTCTTGGCTCCTGGCTTTGACCTCGGCCAGTCCTGGATGGTGTGGCCCGTTTGGAGAGTGAACCAGGGATGGGAAATCTCTTGTCTCTGTCTGAAAAAAGGACATAACAAACCCCCCCCCCCCAATTTAGCAGGTTGCCTGAACAACGGGACACAGTCACAAAAATCAGGCATGCAGCCTATCCTGTTGGAGAACATAGAGCAAGAAGGGTGACCACGACATTCCTAGCAGAAGGCGTTACAGCTGCTGACTAGAAGACCCGTAACAGATACACATCTGTACCCTCTAGAAAAGCAGTTGTGAGGGGACGTTGTGGCCTGGAAAATTTGGGCAGTGAAAACAATGGATAGACCCAAAGACCACGTTGAAAAGCCAAGCTCTGACAAAACCTCCCTCTGCCTGCCATTCTGGCACTGAAATTCTTCTTTTCCAATCTATGCAAATGTCCTGGAAAGGGTAGTGAAATTTTCCTTTCTGTCTGCCTGGATCAGCTGTTCCCAGGGCTCTTCTGTCGAAAATGCCGTGGCTGGCAGAACAGCCAGGAGGGGTCTTTCCAAAATCCTCAGGAAGACTTCAGAAACGTCTTTCTCAACAGAAAAACATGAAAGTCTATTCTGAAGCACCAGCCCCCTAAAAAAAAAATAAAACCCACAAAACCGGATGGAGTGTTATACTGCCAGCAACAGCATGATATAGAGGAAAGTCACAAAGTTTTAGCCATCACTATATAAATACAGCGTAAGCAAAGTGGCTTAGTGTTTCACGCTTCAGTTCTAGCCACGGTAACACTAAGGCATCAACATTCTGCTCTGCCTCCTTCCGGGATCCTTGGTGAAAAGCAGCTGAGCCCCCAGGCTGTGGGAGTGTTCTCAGTGGCAGAGCCGCACGCAGTGCGGGGATGGGGTTAAGAACTGGGCTCCGTCTGTGCTACCAGCTTCGGTCCCGGGCCACACTGCTTCACCCACACCGGCCTTGGAGCCACTGCGCTGGTGAGGATGCACAGGCTGAAAGAATCGTTCTCATCATCATCAAACTAGTTAATCAGCCCAAGCATCTGGCATGGTTCCCGGGCACAGTGAATTCACAGCAAGTAACAGTTATAGTTATTAGGAACTGGCAAAGATTGGAGACTGTCACATGTACGTGTTCAAATCATGCCTGATGAATGAATTACTGATGACAAACCTATCCTGTCCCGATTCAAAGCTTCCTGTAGGTTTGTTCTCACATTCCCCTTCATGTTTTGAGAATAAAAGCAGGTTAGAACTTGTCCTAAGTGAAACAAGTCAGTCACAACAGGACAAATACTGTGTGATTCCATCCACGTGAACTATCTAAAGTGGTCGAAAATTCATAGGAGGGCCGGTGCTGTAGCACAGGTTAATCCTCCGCCTGTAGTGCTGCCATCCCATATGGGCACTGATTCGAGTCTCAGCTGCTCCTCTTCCAGTCCGGCTCTCTGCTGTGGCCTGGGAAGGCAGTGAGTGGGAGACGGCCAATGTGCTTGGGCCCTGCACCTGCATTGGAGACCGGGAAGAAGCAGCTGGCTCCTGACTTCGGATTGGCGCAGTGCCGGCCGTAGCGGCCATTTGGGGAGTGAACCAATGGACAGAAGACCTTTATCTCGGTCTCTCCCGTTCATTGTCTGTAACTCTACCTCTCAAATAAATAAATAAAATCTAAAAAAAAAAAATTCATCGGAACTAAAAGTAGGTTGGTGGTTGCCATGGGCTGGGGAGGAAGAGGGAGGAAATTTTTAATGAGGACAGAGTTTGGTTTTGTAAAACAAAATAAAAAAAATTTCAGAGATGGATGGTATGTATGGGAGCAAAACAGCATGCAGGTAATACCACTGAAATGTACACTTAAAAATAGCAAATTCCACATTATATGTACTTTTACCATGATTAACATTAAAAAAAATAAATTTGGTATTGAGGGAATAGGAGGTTAAGGTAGTGGCTGATAATTCAAAAACTCTGGGTTGTGTCTGAGCTCTGATTCTGGCGCTGACTTGGTGCCCGGGGGTGGCCCCCAGCTGGAGGACACCCTACCTGGCAGCGTGAAAAGAACACTGGCCAGAGTCCCTGAGCCATTTAATGGAGCCAGCGCTAAGTTCACACGAGAGGCCCTCTGCGTTTTATTTTCAACATTTGCAAGCCCTGACTCAGAATTTATATTTCCTAATTATGGTTGAGTCCCCAAAAGTGAAATGCGGATCATGAGGAAAAGAGTTCAAGATGATGTCATGGTGGTGGGGAAGGAGGAGCCCTCACTTAGCTCTGCGAGGATGGAAGGAACCCGGGCCTATTTCTAATTCTGTGATTCTGCCTGGGCCATCACTACAGTAACTCCCTGGGGAGTTAGCAGTGGGCTCGGCAGCCTGACCCACTCGGAAGCTGTAACAGACAAGAAAAGCAGCAGAAACTATGTGAAAGTGGAGAGTGGTCTTGGTGAAGTGGAATGGTCCTGGGGGCTGGAGGCTGGGTTTAAGTCCTGGCCCAAGCACTGACTGGCTGTGTGATGCTGAGCGCGTCCTTTCACTTCCAAGAACGAGGGAGCTGGGAGGGCTGAGCCCTGAGGCCCTGAGCCTGAGATCGCCTCGGAACACTGCGCCACATTTCTGATCACCTGTGCCAATCAACTGGGCTCTGCTGGACCACTTCCCAGAGACACCTTCCTATCTGTCGGTCATGCATGGAAGCGATATGCTGATCACGTAAAGAAATGCTATGAGCACGTCCCCTCGCTGAGAACAAACGTGCCCAGCAAGACGCTGGTCAGGTGGGACGCAGGGGAGATTCTCTCCGGTGTGTGCTAAGCCGGTGGCCATGGCCTGACGGGCTACCCTGCCCTGTGTTTGTTTAGCTGAGTCCCGAAGCTTTCTTCTTCCCTCCTTACCTGCGTAGGAAGACACGGGGGAAATCTGCAGAGGGTAGAGCTCGCTCATGCTGACTGGCTGCTCGTCGCTCTCGGTGGTCACCTCCACAACCTGGCAGATGTCTGGAGGATTGGTGACAATCTCCTGATCCTCGATGCTGCTGTCCAGATGGGACTGTCCTACAACTTCAAGGAAAAGAAGGCCATCACTCACCGCAGTCTCCTGAGTCCCCAGTGCCAGCACCCGAGGGAAGGCGTCCTGCAGCATAGCAGGCTCGCCACGGGAGTCACGTTCCTGGTCACCGCATGTCCCCGCCCGTGAAGCTCAGTAACAAGGCTCAGCTCTCCAGAAAAATAGCCCACCCATATCCTGACTCCCCAGGTCTGTCCAGCGGGCCCGGCCGATGGTGAACACAGGGGAAATACCCATCCGATACTGCTCAGTGGAGTCCCAAATGCAACCCGGTCACAGCCAAAGCTGCAAAACCAGAGGCCACATCCAGCCGGAGCCCAGACCAGGCCTGACAGTGCTTTGAACCTGAGCTGTTCCCGTTCTGTGCTCTGAAGGGAGACACTGTGCTGATTTTCTGGTTCTATGGTCCAGAGACACTAGTAAGTAAAAAGAATCACAAAAATCCACGCCATTGTGTCATTTCTAGATGTGGGGCACTCCTCATATGCCCAGCTAGCTTCTGGCTCTGCAGGCAACACAACCAACTGACCTCAAATCAGAGCATAGCCAGAGTCAGCTCCCCAATCCTAACAAAAGTCAGTAGCATTTACTTCCCAAACCACTGACTTCTCGCCACCGTTGGCCGTGCAACTGCCTCAATTTTTTTTACATTAAATTTATTTTTATCTTGAGAGAACTGTAAACACACAGTTATAAGAAAGAATACCCTGTGTGAGATCCCGTGTGCCTTTGCTCAGTTTCCCCCAAAGGAAACATCTCCAGAACTGAAGTACACTGTCCCAGCCAGCATACTGACACTGAGAACAGTACACCCAGTTTGCTCAGGCTGCCTTGGTTTTACTTGTATCCCTGGGGGTGTGTGTGTGTGTGTGCACATGTGTGTTTGCGTGTGTGTGTGTGCACTTAGTCCTATGAAGTTTTATCACGGTGAAGTTTTCACGTGCCCATACCACTCAATATGCCCAACAGCTCCACTGCCAGGTTCTCGCTTGATTTACTCTTCTGTAAGCACTGATGTCTTCTTTCAGGGTCTCTCCATCCGCCCCGTAACCCCAGCAACCAATCGTCTGCGTCCCCCATTTCTGTCACTTCAGGGATGCTACATAAATGGACTCGCAGTCACCCTTTGGGATCGGCTTCTCTCACTCACTATAATCTCCTGGGGGGGCCACCATCTGCTGTGACTCCTAGCAGCGGGGGCTTCCTTTTCTTCCTGCTGGGTAGCATTCCAGGGGTGATGTTCAACTGTTCACCGCTGAAGGGCAGCTAGGCTGACCCCAGGCTTTGGCTACTCTAAATGAGGCTGCTACGAAGGTTTCGTGTTCGGCTTTGGAGCAACACAAGTTCCTGTTTCTCTGGGATAAATGCCCAAGAATGCAACTGCTGAGTCAAGTGGCAGCTGCATGCTTAGCTTTATAGGAAGTCGACAGTTGTTTCCCTGGGTGTCTGTCACTTCCCATTCCTACCAGCACGGCGTTGTCTCTATTTTTTATCTTAGCCATTCTGATAGGAAAGTAGCGTTCACTGTAGTTTTAATTTCAGTACATTATGCCCTGTTTTCATTTTAAACATTTAAAAACATTCATTTGAAGGAAAGAGAGAGAGAGAGAGAGCTCCCCCATCTGCTGGTTCACTCCCCAAATGCCTGCCGAGGACAAAGCCGGGCAAGGGTTAGAGCCTGAAGCAGGGAATGCAATCCAGGCCTCCCACATGAATGGCAGGAACCCAAGTACTGGAGCTCTTCCTGCTGTCTCACAGGGTCTGCATTAGCAGGAAGCTGGAGTAGGAGCCGGAGCTGGGTACTGAACCTAAGTATTCCAACGTGGGAACAGGTGTCCTCATGCCTATGCTAAACGCCCACTGACTTTACAGTGCTGCTGGCAGATGACGGATGAAATTCCCTGAGCACTGGCTCACTGAACAGACGGGGGTTAATAACACGGCAATAACAAGGTTTCCCCGAGGTCCTCAAAGCCACCACAGTCAATGCTTCACTCATACCTGTGTGAGTTCGTATAGCATTTTAACCCCATCAAGAGAAGGCCGAGCAAAGTTTCATTATCCTGTTACGGATGAAGAAACTCAGGTACACAGAAGTAGAGTGACTTGTCCAAAATCCACACAAATTGCATTATATGCAATGCTCTATATTCCCGTCATTTAAAAAAAGATGATTTATCCATCTGAAAGGCAGAGACAGAGAGGGAGGGAGGCAGGGAAGGAAAGAGAGAGATCCTCCATCTGCTGGTTTACTCCCCAAACGGCCTCAATGGCTGGGACTGGACCAACCAGAAGCCAGGAGCTTCTTCCAGGTCTCCCACATGAGTGCAGGGGCCTAAGGCCCTGGGCCATCTCCCACTGCTTTTCCAGGTTCATTAGCAGGAAGCTGGAGCAGTGGGACTTGAACTGGCACCCATGTGGGATGCCAGCACTGCAGGTGGCAGCTTAACCCACACCACAGCACAGCCCCTAGATTCCTGTCTTTTTCTCACCTATCTCCAAAATGTTCAGGTTAATAACCTCATGGCCAAGTCAAGTTTTTTAGTTAATTAATTAGATTTATCTATTTACTTGAAAGGCAGAATTACAGAGACAGCTTCCATCTGCTGGTTCACTGCCCAAATGGCTTCAATGGCCAGGGTTAGGCCAAGTCAAAGCCAGGAGCCAAGAGCTTCATCTGGGTCTCCCATGTAGGTGCAGGGACTCAAGCACTTGGGCCATCCTTTGCTGCTTTCCCAGGCACATTAGCAGGGAGCCGGATCAAACAAGGAACAGCCAAGACTTGAATTGGTGCCCATTTGGGATTACATCACAGTACAGGCTCTGACAGGTCAAGTTTTAATCACTCAAAGTGAGGTGGGCATTGTGGTCTGCAATGCCTGTAGCTCGTATCAGGAGCACCAGTTTGAATTCTGGCTGCTCTGCTTCCAATCCAGCTCCTGTTAACGAGCCTAGAAAAGCAGTGGCTGATGGCCCGGGTCCTTGGGCCCCTGCACCCATGTAGGAGACTAAGATGGAGTTTCAGGCTTCTGTCTTCATCCTGGCCCAGCTCTAGTCATTGTGGCCATCTGGGGAGTGAACCAGCGAATGGGAGCTCGCTCTCTTTCTCTATCATTCTGCCTTTCAAATAAATAAATCTTTAAAAAAAAGTCACTCAAAAGTATTTTTACATTTATAAATAGTTGTTAAGTTCTTGTATAAATTGCATTTTGGGGGGAATGACGTGAACATTATCTGATTTGCACTCAGGGTAAGTGTTGGGAGGCAGTGGGAGATGGCAGGTTCTTTCATAAAGAGAGGAGAGATTCCCCGGAGCCAAGCACACAGGATGGAAGTGGCCTCGGGTGCTGTGTGTATGCACCTGCTGGGGATGTAGTTCGAGGCGAGGAAGGCAGGCTAAACATGGCAGGCAGACTCCCCCAGTCTTCTTTCACCCTTTGGGCAGTGCTGTGGCAGTGTGAGGCTGTCAGTTATGCAGCTCATGAGACCCGGACTGAACACCAACACTGACCTGCTCAGGTTTCGCCTGTCCATTCTCCCAAGGGAAACAAAGTGCCAGGAGGACGGGATCATGTCCTGCCCCATCCCAAGTCCTAAGAAGCTGGTGGAGGTGCAGGATGGAAACCACATGGTGTGTGTGTGTGTGTGTGCAGAAGGGGCCCTAAGCAGCTCGCTCCACACAAAGCAAGGAAGGTTGTCTACACAGATTTAAATCAGAGCCACTCCCACCTCCGATGCCCCAAAACTCTTGTCCTCCTGCGAGTCAGCAGGGTGACGATGGCAGCAGCTTGAGTCTCTTCCTAGTTCTGGCCTTCTGTTCCCACCAGAACTTCTCCCACTGCTTTTCCTCATAATGCCCAACTCTGGGTTCAGCTAACAAAGGCGTATGGAACACCTGCCATGGTCCACCATCAGGAGAAGCAGACGAGGATCAACACCGACAAGGATCGGGGGAAGGGAGTCTAGTAGGTAGGGGCCGGCATACAATAATGCCAAGAGTAAGGTTAATGTAGGCCGGTGCCACGGCTCACTTGGCTAATCCTCCGCCTGCGGTGCCGGCACCCTGGGTTCTAGTCCCGGTAGGGGTGCTGGATTCTGTCCCGGTTGCTCCTCTTCCAGGCCAGCTCTCTGCTGTGGCCCAGGAGGGCAGTGGAGAATGGCCCCAGTGCTTGGGCACTGCACCTGCATGGGAGACCAGGAGGAAGCACCTGGTTCCTGGCTTTGGATCGGTGCAGCGCACTAGCCGTAGCAGCCATTTAGGGGGTGAACCAACAGAAGGAAGACCTTTCTTTCTTTCTCTCTCTCTCTCTCTCACTGTCTAACTCTGTCAAAAAAAAAAAAAAGGTTAATGTAAACAGAAAGGCAGCAAAACAAAGTTAAAGCAAAAAGCAGAGGGAGGGGGAGGGAGATGGCTTGTGGCGGAAGTCGAGGCTGCGGCGTCCTTTTCCCAGTTTGAGGCATCAAGCCCCAGCAGGCAGCGGCACACAGGTGGGGGTGGCTGAGCAACAGGCAGTGTTGAGCAGGGCCCTGTTTCGGGCGCCTTCCTGTCTCCTGCGGCACACGCGCACCTGTCCTTCCTCTGAGCATCTCTCACTCCTGTCCCTTTTGCTCAGCAGCAACTACCGTAAGACAGCCTTGGACTTTTCTGGTGTTGCTGGGCACTGCTCCATGCCTTTAATTAACTTTTATTTGTTGAGGTCAGATCTCCTCAAGCCAATTCCAGCCCCTGAGAGCTGACAGCCTGCATTAGGGCTTTCTTTCCTTTCCTTTCCTTTTTTTTTTTTTTTTGGTGGAGGGTAAAGATTTAGTTATTTTTGTGACAGGCAGAGAGAGACAGAGAGGGAGAGTCTTCTATCCACTGGTTCACTCCCCAAATAGCCGCAACAGCCCGGGCTGGTACAGGTTGGAGGAGCCTGAAATTTCATGTGGGTTTCTTTTTTCTTTTCTTTTTTTTTTTTGACAGGCAGAATGGACAGTGAGAGAGAGAGAGAGA